TGAGATGCAAAAATAAAAAAAGGTTGTTCCATTTGAATTTTTTAAGTTATTTAACTTTTAACAAACTTCGACATTTTTTTAACTCCTCGACTGTAATACATTAAAAAAATGTTGTTTCATTTAAAAAAACATAAGTTTGTATTGTAACTTATTCTTGGACCAACCTGAATAATCAAAAATATTTTCCTGAAATATAAATAAAGTCTACGAAATAACAAAATTTCCACTTAAATAATAACTGAGCTACAGAAGACCGGAGCTGAGATGAATCACCCTGTATAATGTTGACTTTTCTAACCTTGACGGAGGTTGGAAAGTGACTCATTACTAACCTCCTATTACTTACCACTATTACTACCCTTGTTTTCTAGTCCCACGTTTGTCACTTTCCATTAATTCTTCGTCTGAATCCACCATTTCAATAGATTTAAAGACTTAATGAGCAAAAACTTGTTGTTTGTAATATTCAAACATTTTCTTTACTTATTCACACAAATTAAAGATGCGGTTGTAAGTAAAATTGTATTACAAAGTATCCCATCTAAAATTTCGGATTAAACATCTCTGTTAATACTAACTGAATCTCCACTTTCTAAGTTGTCTACATTTTAAATTTCATAAAAATTCGTTAACAAACAACAGAGATACTAGACTCGAAAGTCTTACGTGGGACATTCTGTACATACATCTGTAGAAAGTTACATTTCTGTCAAGAAATGTACCATTTTCCATCTCGGTATGTAATATACTATTATTTACAAAAATATTAATTTAACGTTTTATTTTGTTACAAGTAATGTACTTATCGGCTCTAGTACCGTAATAGCTTCAAATGAGACCGGAAAGTTTAATTTACCGTACTGTATGAAATAATTGACGATGTACGCGTGATGGTTAAATGGTGGATGCGCCGGGTCATATTTTTGATTTGTTCAGTTGGCGCTCCCATAAAACCTTACTTTCAGTTTAAAGAGCCATTAATTTTTAAAACAGCCTCAAATACCGTTTCCTCGCCCCATATTTTACTTGTCGTGGAATTTTATTGCAGAGTAAATTAGGTTTTCATTATTTTTAAATTAAGTGCGTCTGTAAAGCCCCGAGACTTGACCTTTTTACCTGGGGAAGAGACAGAAGGAGATCCGCCGTCGGCTTCCATAAAATTTTCAATAAGTTAGTCTGTGAAACAATAAAACCAATGCACACACATCCTAGGAATCCTAGCAACAGATGCAGACGGAACAAACATTAAATAATATTTTGAAAAGTTTCATATTGGAAAATGAAAAATATACACGGGCATATGTCGTCATGCCGAGGCTAGACGGAGCCCAGCCAATATGCTGCTAGTAAACATGCATTAGACGGGCATAAATTGCGAAAGTAGTCTCCTGCAGAAGCCGGAAATTTCCAAAATTGATGTATTAAAACCGTTGTTCCCCCAACCTCACAAAAACTAAACACTCTATTTATTGCTTCAGATCGATAAATCCACGACGTTTCCCTTTCCGATATTTCGAAATAAATCGCGAAATTCATAAATAGAAAACTTGATGCGGTAAATCCTTGGAGTTTAGTTGAAATTCATACGCGTGTGTGCCGTTAGAACACTTGAGAATCGTCGGAATTGCTTTATTTCACCAGCTATAAATCTCATTCAAAATGTCAATACCTCCCCTCCTTGAAGACTCCCAGTTACAGAGTTAATTCCTCGCAAACTTTATCGTTCATTTTATTTTCTCCGTCTTGTGCAACAATGCACCCAAGTCAGACCATTCTCGACCTTAACTTCTGCTGATTAGCTCTAATTTAGAAGCGCGAATCGTAAACTCACTTTCCAGTTAGTGGACGCCAAAACGACGTGTAAATCATCGCTTTAACGACTTGCACTTTGGTACAGACGGTTCACAAAGAATACCTAATTACGTCAATTATTCTTTATTCATCCCACCTAAGATAATACAAGATTTGCGCTCCTTGGGCGGTAAGATAGTCACAGAACTGACACAAAAAGGCCCTGTGGTGAACACGAAATTGTATAATATTTAAATTATTATGTGACGTTGCGAATTGCGAGATTACGAACAAAAACCTTTTACAACAAAACTTTAGATTTTTGTGAATCTTGTCGTTTTTTGAGAGAATTATACGGTAACAACCGAATCAGTTTTGTCTTGCTTCCGTACAAGTTAATTTAATTGTAATAATTGTTCGAATAAATTACTTAGTTCGTAGTTCAGTGCGAAACTGTGTGGAAGTGGGGCTGTCTGGGTATTTTCGAGTGCCTAATAGAAATTTAGTAATGCGCGATTTTTAAAGTTTCGAGTTATTAGTGAGTGTCAGTGAGAGAAATAAAAAAAAAATCATGCTACAAGGATCCGGATTGAAAAGTTAGTCAACAATACCTTTGAATTTTTTTAGAAAAATCACGTTTAAATTTTATTTAATATTTTTACGTCAGTTATTTTTTATTCATCTAATCTAACATAATACAAGATTTGCGCTCCTTAAGCGGTAAGGTGGTCACAGAACTGACAAAGAGGGGCCCTGTGGTGAACATGAAATTGTGTAATATTTAAAATATTTTGTGACGTTGCGAATTGCGAGATTACGAACAAAAACTTTTTATTACAAAACTGTTGGATTTTTGTGAATATTGTCGTTTTTGAGAGAATTATACGGTAACGTACGAATCAATTTAGTCTTCCTATCGTACAAGTCAATTCAATTGTAATAATTGTTCGAATAAATTACTTAGTTCGTAGTTCAGTGTGAAACTGTGTAGAAGTGGGGGTTTTGGGTATTTTCGAGTGCCTAATAGAAATTTAGTAATGCGCGATTTTTAAAAAGTTCGAGTTATTAGTGAGTGCCAGTGTGGGAAATAGAAAAAGCTCTTGCTACAAAGATCCAGATTGAAAAGTTAGTCAACCATACCTTTTAATTTTTTTTAGAAAAATCATATTTAAATTTTATTTAATATTTTTACGTCAATTATTCTTTATTCATGTAACCTATATATTTTTTTGACGTTGCAAATTGCAAGATTACAAACAAAACCATTTTACAACAAAACTGTTTTTGTTTTTGTAAATCTTGCCGGTTTTTGAGAGCATTAATACGGTAACAAACGAATCAGCTTAGCCTTGCTTCCGTACGAGTAAATTAAATTGTAAAAATTGTCCGAATAAATTATTTAATTCGTAGTTCAGTGCGAAACTGTGGTGAATATGAAATTGTGTAGTGTTTAAATTATTTTGTGACGTTGCAAATTGCGAGATTACAAACAAAACCATTTTACAACAAAACTGTTGCCGATTTTTGAGTGCATTAATACGGTAAAGTTCGAATCAGCTTAGTCTTGCTTCCATACGAGTTAACTGAATTGTAATAATTGTTCGAATAAATTACTTAGTTCGTAGTTCAGTGCGAAACTGTGTAGAAGTGGAGGCTGTATTATCAGTGCGTGAGTTTTGGGTATTTTCGAGTGCCTAATAGAAATTTAGTAATGCGCGATGTTTAAAACTTCGAGTTATTAGTGAGTGCCAGTGACGGAAATAAAAAAAGCAATCATGATACAAGGATCCGGATTAAAATGTTAGTCAACGATACCTTTTATTTTTTTTAGAAAAATCACATTTAAATTTTATTTTATATTTTTACATCAATAATTGCTTATTCATCTAAACTAACATAATACAAAAATTGCGCTTCTTAGGCGGTAAAGTCGTCACAGGACTGACATAGAGGGGCCCGGTTGTAAACATGAAATTGTGTAATATTTAAATTATTTTGTTCGATGTTACAAATTACGAGATTACAAACAAAGACCTTTTACAACAAAACTCTTGAGTTTTTGTAAATCTTTCCGTTTTTTTGAAAGAATTAATACGATAACGAACGAATCAGCTTAGCCTTGCTTCCGAGTTAATTGAATTGTAATACTAATAATTGTCCGAATAAATTACTTGATTCGTAGTTCAGTGCGAAACTGTGTAGAAATGAAAGTTGTATTATTATCAGAGCGTTCGTTTTGAGTTTTTTCGAGTGTCTAATAGAAATTTAGTATTGCGCGATTTTTTAAATTTCGAAAAAAAGATAGATAATAGCTTTTATTTTTAAATTCTATTTAACATTTTTACGTCAATTATTCTTTATTCATCTAACCTAACATAATACATAAATTGCGCTCCTTGGGCAATAAGGTGGTCACAGGACTGACCAAAAGGGGACCAGTGGTGAACATGAAATTATGTTATATTTAAATTATTTTGTGAGGTTGCAAATTGCGGGATTACGCAGCTCCGAACGAAGACCTTTTAGAACAAAATTGTTGAGTTTTTGTGAATCTTGCCGTTTTTTGGGAGAATTAATACGGTAACGAACGGACAAATCAGCTTAGCCTTGCTTCCGTACAAGTTAATTCAATTGTAATAATTGTTCAAATAAAATACTTAATTTGTAGTTCAGTGCAAAAATGTGTAGAAATGGGAGCTGTATTAGTTGTGCGTGCGTGTTGAGTATTTTCGAGTGCTTAATAAACATTTTTTTAAATTTCGAGTTATTAAAGAGTGCCAGTGGGAGAAATAAAAAAACAACCGTGCTATCTGGATTAAAGGGTTAGTTTACATTAATACCTTTTAATTTTTTTTAGAATTTTTTTTTTTATCAAAATTTTCAACTGATTTAAAAACACATTAAACTCTGATTTTGTGTTTTTTTATTTTCAGTAGGTCCGTTTAAAAAGCAGAAACGAATTGCTAGAAAGAGTAGTAGGTTGTATTATTTGTGCGTGCGTGTTGGGTATTTTCGAGTGCATAATAGACATTTAATTGTGCTCGAGTTTTAAAATTTTGAGTTATTATTGAGTGCCAATAAAAGAAACAAAAAAAGAATCAAGCTAGAAGGATCCGGATTGAAAAGTTAGTCAACAATACCTTTTATTTTTTAGAAAAATCACATTTAAATTTTATTTAATATTTTTACGTAAATGATTCTTTATTCATCTAACCTAACATAATACAAGAATAGCGCTCCTTGGGCGGTAAGGTGGTGACAGGACTGACATAGAGGGGCCCAGTGCGCTCCAGACGGTGCTTGGGGGCGCTGCGCCACCCCACCATACCTGAAATCATTCACAAAAGCAGTAAAAAAATACCCCAATGTTTACGTTTTGGTGGGCCGCCTGAAAAGTGTACATTACCGGCGCCAACAATGGCGCAACTCTCGGAAATTAATTTTACGTGTCGTATCTGTCGTCAGTTCCGATTTTAAGTGCATAACGCGCTCTGGCAACGCCATCGCTGATGACTTGTACTTAACTAAATTTCCGTGCAACAATGCGAAATCGGGTATTTAAATGGGAAACTGACGGTGAAAAATGCAAAAGCATCAGAGAGTCGCTTTTGGTCTTGTTTTCGGGAGGAGAACCAGACGTGATTGTTGTGCAAGCGGTGAAAGGAGCGGAAATGGGGGCTGAAAACTGAAACGAATACAGTCTTTGTCAAGGTGGAGTGTTTCAGTATGAAATCATAAATCGTTCAGTGGCCGACACGAGCCACCGATAAATTATTCTCCGTTGCTTTCTATTTACGTTTAATTTGCTGTTTTAATGTTGTTATAAGCGAGTGTCTGAAACGGGGATTTATCACCACCTACCAGACGACGTTTTAGGGACGTTAGTGGCCGGTTCTAGATCCCAGATGTAATCCAAAGCTTTAGTTTTGTTTTTACGTCGCACGGTCCATCGCCGGAATTCTTCCACAGAAATGCCATGCTTGGCAGCTTCCTCCAACACGAACTAAAAGACACAGTAAGCAAGAAACGGAGAAAACACGAGATTACCTTGTCGAAGTCCAACAGAAAACCCCACTTGCGGTGCCAGTCGTGACGAGCTTTTTCCTCAAGCGTTACGAGGGATTTTCTGAAAATGAGAATTTCAGAGCAAAAACACGAAGAAGTGGTCACCTACAAGACCTCGTTACGTTTCACTAAATCAAGAGATGAGTCTTTGTGAACACCAGGGAGGCTCGCCATTGGGGCGATTTGGGTTGTTTGGTCGATAATAGCGAACATGCTCTTAATATTTCACCGATTTTGGGATTACGAGCAAAAATGATAGTTTATGAGCCACATAAACTCACATTTACTCCGAATAACATCCACAAACATATTCAGATCGAGAGTAAAAAAACAACACTTAACTAGCAAGTAAATGAACAAAATAATCAGAACGTTTTACGAGTAATGAACGTAACAATGCTTCTTAATTGCAATCAAATTTTAATTTAATGTTTGAAAAAGTAACTGACAATTTAATTCGAATTGATTTAGTCCTGAATTAAATTTTATTACGCCTTTTCTAAATCGATTAAAGGCAAATTAATTTTTGACGTCATTTAAGCAAATCAGAGGGTTGTTTAATTGTACGATTATAAAAGACGCAAAAAATCATGAACGTGAAATTGTGTAATATTCGAATTATTTTGTGACGTTGCGAATTGCGGAATTACGCAGTTTTGCACAAAAACCTTTTACAACAAAACTGTTACAAAATATTTTTTTAATCTTGTCGTTTTTTAAGGGAATTAATACAATAAAGAACAAATCAATCTTAGCTTTGCTCCCGTACGAGTTAATTGAATTGTAATAATTGTACGAATAAATTACTAATTTCGTGGTTCAGTGCGAAAATGGGAGCTGTATTAGTTGTGCGTGCGTGTTGGGTATTTTCAAGTGATTAATAAGCATTTTATTAAATTTCAAGTTATTAGAGAGTGCCAATTAGGGAAATGAAAAAAACAATCGTGCTACAAGGATCTGGATTAGAGGGTTAGTCAACAATACCTTTTAATTTTTTTTAGAAAAATCACATATAATTTTTATTACAATTTTCAACTGATTTAAAAACACATTAGACTGATTTTGTGTTTCTTTATTTTCAGTAGGTCTGTTGCATCCTATGCAAATATTAACATTGGAGACTAGGTCGCAGTATCATCCTAACTAAAATTTAATAATCCGCTGTAGAATCGGTTTTATGAAAAATTACTCATTTAGGGTAAAGTAATTTTTTGATACAAGTTTTCTTGCAAATGGTTTATCGTAGAAACTTGCTGTTTGGGCATTAACACCATTAAATCAAAGTCTACCTCGCTGAAGCGTTCTTCTTTTTTCAACTTTATTATTTTTTAATATAAATAAAAAAAATTAGTTCAAGATTTCAGTAGGTAAATACCCGATCCGTTCGAAATCCACCATGATTTACAACACCCTCTCTTCGGTCCTAGCAGTTTATTTTTTAGAGAGACTATAAAATTGAAGGTTTTGCGGTTTTTCTATCCAAAAAAATAGAAATAAAAAATACTTAAATATTAAAAATTGAAATTTGAAATTCCACGAAAAAAATAATAAAAAAGTTATAGAAATTTTAAATATACAATTTTTTGAATTTTTGTTTTTGAGTTCTGTAAAATTTTTAATTATTTTAAATGGCAGCCCACTATGAAACCTTTTTTTAGGCTATAATCTAAGGATTACAACTATTTACTTTTTATTAAATTTTTATTGAATTTTTTTAATCAGTAGCCATTTTGACAAAAAAAAATCACACACAAACGAGAAAAAATTTCATTCTCAAACGATCACATGTTTTGAAGTACTTTAATTTTTATTAATTATTCTTTTCTGAAGACAAATAATTTAAAAAATCGCTTGGTTCCATACTTTTTATTCACCTTGTATGTGATTAAACAATTTTGTTATTAGCTTTTTTGTATCTATTCTAAAATAATTCCAGCAAAGGAATTGAAACGGATTTTCAAATCTCGAAAACAACTCAGATTGGAAGTAAATTGCTACAAAGAGCAGCAAAAAAAATGCCTTATAAGGCCAGTGCATTTTAATTTTTTTATTTTTTTGTATGGCCAAGTGAATATTTTGAACAAAAAGTACCCTGTGGAGCGATTTACAGAGCATTCCGAAAAGCATTCTTAATTGCAATCAATCAAATTGTAATTCGGATTACTTAAGTCTTGAATTAAATTTTACTTGAAGTTTTGAAAGTGTTTATAATATAACTGGTGCAGTTAGTAGTGCAAAATGTCAAATTCTCATGATCCACAATAAAATTGCAGAAGCAGCAAAAAATAAAAGAAAAACAAGATTGAGACATGCCAATAATGTCCCGGTAAAAGTAAAAACGCTAAGACGCAAAAATAAAATTTTTACTCCATGGCTGAAAGGTAAAACGTTTACTTGTGACGTTTGCGGGTAAAACAAGTTTTATGAAATATGGAAGTTGTATCGAATTTTTGATCGATACCCACAAAAAATTGTCACTTTTCGGAAGACGAATTTCTGGGTGATTTTCGCTGAAGTAGTTTGCACCCTCAGCGAGTGGCTGAAGTGGTTTAAAATTGCATCGTATAAATCACGTTATTTTTTTTGAAATTTCCTTGTGGTGGTGCATTGAAAGTCGCTGTATAAAAGTTTCAATTCTCAATCCTTTGGAAATAAATCAGTTAAATCACTCCTCGCAGCTGTTCATCCTTTTGCGCGTCGGTAGTCGATAAATCGAATCCATAATCGGCGACAGTACACATAAAACCCGTACAATGTAAGTGATATTTGTAGGAGTAAAAATTTATGCATATGCTCGAAATGGTCGCTTTATTATTTCATAAAGTTTCGTCCATAAAACTGTTTTGGTGCTCTGGCCATCGACTCATGAAGAAGTAAACAGCAAGCGACACATGACGACACCTTTCTCATCTAAACAACCGCTCATAATATCCACCGACATTGTCTAACAATCTCAAATGAGCTTTTTTACCTTTTACGACGTCATAATCTGCGATCCCGACTAGATTCCATTAGAAAGTGACACGTTTTAGAGACATTGTCGGCGGTTATGAACACCGATTACATTTTATTTATACGTTCGCCGGAAAATAGATTTTCACCTGAAGCCACATTCGAGAGATAAAACATATCACAAAATGGACAAATCCCCTCCAGGAGCACTCATTTCGATCGGTGGGGTTTAAAGCTCAAATAAATTCACGATCGATGTTGCGAAGCTATTTTAAAGCTGGTTTTGTTGCTTCGCCGATCTTAAAACTGGAAGATATCGGATTAGAGAGATATTGGAGAGACCAGAAGCTGTAAAAACTCTTCATTCCTCGGAGAAATACTGTTGATTTTAACACAATAGTAGTGATTGGATTCCCAACTTGGAAATAAAAGCACGAAGAGGACTCCTGACTAGTCCTCATAATTCTAGAACACAAGCCAATATATCGAAATCGGTTTTCTTGTATTTAATTTTAGATGACCAAAAACACCAAAAAAATGAACAAAACCCTGTTGGCGTTTGCGTTTCACCTGTTGCCTCATTCCCTCACAAGACCAGTTATGTTATTATTAAATACCGGGTGTACCCGAAAGAATGCAAGCATTCCGTTTAGCATTTTTCCAATTTGATGAAAATTGTTCCACAAAAATGCGCTTGATTACCCTTCCTCATCCGATTTTTGACTTTTTTCCCGACGAGCTTTCAGTGCTTTTGAACCGCTGCAATCCCTCATCATTACAACCTAGTCGCTGATAATAAGGGATAACGTCGGGATTATCGGGAATTTAACGAGAGTCGACACGTTAATTTGATATTCCAAGCATTAATTACGTTTTCCCGAGAAAAGCCTTTGAAAAATTCGTCTCAAAGCGAATAACACAGGGCGATTAAAAAAAAAGTCATGTCGTAACAACTTGACAAATTATATATCATTTTGTTCGTCTCACTGAGACAAATCAAATGCACTAAAAAAAATCAAAAAGTCCACACACTTTGAACTAAATATTTTTTTTTAATTTAAATGAATTTAAAATACTTTAACTTTAAAAAAATCATTACTCAATTACTATTAGGCCGATTTCCTTCAAATAAAGACCATTTTAAAGGAATGGCTTTGCCCTTTAAGATGATATGAAATTTGAAATTGAATATTGGCAAACTTTTCTTCGAACAGTGTTCGAAAAAGTTCGAAGTAAATCGAAATAATCTAAGAAAAACCCTACGAGTAAATTTTTTTTTATCATCATTACCATCGTGTAGAGCATCTCTTTATTAGTTGCAATCCAAATTTTCAAAAGAATATACCGAGTAGTTTTTAAGATATGATTTTTTGAAGTTAAGGTTTGCTAATCAAGTTTGCTTAATGATCAGTGGTCATTTTTTCAACAAAAKAACTCTTTATTTGCTTTAATTAGTACGCAGATACTATTTATTTGTTTTAAGTAAACAAACAGTTTTTGTTTATTCTAATTAGAACAAAGAAGGTGCAGTTGACCATTTTTAAGCAAAAGAAGAGTATTAAAACAAATACTTTTATAAAAATGCAATTTTAAGTAAGATTAACATGCATTTCTCCTAAATGGAGCAAACCTTAACTTCAAAAAATCATATCTTGAAAACTACTCGGTATATTATTTTAAAAATTTGGATTCTTACTAATAAAAAGATGCTCTACACAATGGTGACAAAGAAAATGGTCTTTATTTGAAAGAAATCAGCCTAATAGTTATTGGGTTATGATTTTTTTAAATTAAAGTATTTTAAATTCGTTTAAATTAGAAAAAAATTCTAGACGTTTTTAACTAAGACGTTCTTAAGACACTTTTTTACAAGAAATCTAAATCTGTCATCGTATTTTTTAAGGCGCTCTTGATATGGACGCCATATTTGATTTATGTCTTTTTGTTCCTGATTACAACGATGTATCACACGAATGATCAAATTTTACATGCTTTTCAAAATTAGGAAAAAGCGTTTTTGCAAAGAGTGCTTTGGAAAACACGCTATCAATTTTAATTAGTAATAATAATAATTAATAAAAAAAATTATTTAAAAAAAACTTACCTTTACTTTATATTTCTTTTAACTTACCTTTTGTTTACTTATACACTATTCGCTTATTACACTATTATCACTTTTGGTTTAAAGTTCGCGCTCTTGTACGCCCGCCATCTCTTAGTGCTTATTTAAGTTGTGTTCTTATTTGTTCTTATGCTCTCTCTCTTTCTTTATTATTATACATATTAGAACATGTGCACATGTTTTAAAGTTCGCGCTCTTATGCGCCCGCCATCTTTTGACATTTATCTGAATTATATTTGAATTTGTGAAAAATTGCCGACTTGACCGAGGCTCGAACTCGGGACCTACCTGCTGGAAAGCGGGACCTCAATATATTTTACACAAAATTTTCCAAAAATTTATTTTTCGCATTTTTACAATGTTTTTGTGCTTTATTAAGTCTTTTGAACCCCCAAGAGTGCAAATAGACAATTTTGAAGTTTTTAATTTTTTCGATTTTTGTCGAAATTTTGGGCGATTTTCGGTACGCGGAGCGGTCTAATGCCAATAACTGCGGACTTATTAGAGATAACTTCTTATATTTGGTACCGTTGGAAAGAAAATTTAATTTTCTATCATATACAAAAAAGATCAGTGCTCTCTAGAAAATTTGTGATAATTGTTTTAGAATAATTCTATTATTATTACTCAAAATTAATTGAAGACCAGTGGCGCAGGAAAAGATAGAGTTTAGGGGGTGTTTTACTACTCGGTATATTATTTTAAAAATTTGGATTCTTACTAATAAAAAGATGCTCTACACGATGGTGACAAAGAAAAAAAAATGACTAGTAGGGTTTTTCTCAGATTTCAAATTTTATATCATTCTAAAGGGCGAGGCTATCCCTTTAGAATGGTCTTTATTTGAAAGAAATCAGCCTAATAGTTATTGGGGTAATGATTTTTTTAAATTAAAGTATTTTAAATTCGTTTAAATTAGAAAAAAATTCTTTGGTTCAAAGTGTGTGGACTTTTTGAAATTTTTTTAGTGCATTTGATTTGTCTCACGGAGACGAACAAAATGACAAAATTTGTCAAGTTGTCACGACATGACTTTTTTTTTGTCGCCCTGTGAAATTAAGAGACGACTTTTGCAATGTCCACGTTTTATTTTTGTTTGGGAATAAGTTTCCAAGTCGACTGAAGTTGAAAGTATTTGAATTTCAATCACATATGATTTCTCACGAGTAATGTGGGAATATCTTGAGAGTAGTTGACACCCGAGAGGGAGACTTGCTTTATTTGCTCCGTCGCTGGCGGGGTTTCACACCCCACAAACGCAACACACAATAAAGTGGTTTTCCTAGTTAGGACACCGAATACATCTATTTCAGACGGCAATGCCACCTCATTACGGGTGGAATATTCATTTTTGGGCGCAGTCGGTAGGGCTGTTAGATGTTGTGATTTCTGATTGAATTATTGTCGAACTCAATTCGGTTAAAAATGTTTCATTCATGATGCGGCCGGATTTGGGTCGATGCCAGACGGCTCGACGGCCTAACTTTTATTACAATCGTCGAGAGCCTAATAAATGGACTAAAATAATAAAAGTCCTACAGGCTGTTATCTAGTCGATCACTTATGTGGGATTTAACACAAATTGTACTTCTCTTTAGTAAATTCGTATTTTCACTCTCGAACAACAATGGTTATAGAATTTTAATGAGTTAGACACTACTAATAGTAGTTTATTATACAACAAGCTGGGCCAAAAAACGAAAAATAGCGCGAAAAAGTTGTGAATTATATAGACAAAAAAAAAGAAAAAATTATCAAAATCGGTTGACATCTTCCAGTCGCGCATAAACCCTAACGTTTGACAAAATATGAACTTATAATTTTTTAAAAATTTTTAATTAGATGTTTTCTAAAACACAATGTTCTTATGTTCAAAAATAAAAATACTGTAACTATTACGTTAAAAAAAAGTATATTAAAGGTATAAAAAAGAACTCGTAAAAATGTGGAATTTTCAATATTTTGACAAATTTTGGGGCTTAAGCGCGACCTGAAGATATCAACTGACCTAATCCAAATTAAAACACGATGTTTTTATGCTCTATTTGAAGACTATTACATTATGAAAACATCTAATTGAAAGATTAAAAAAATAAGTTTTTTTCATATTTTGTCAAACTTTAGGACATGTGCGCGACCGGAAGATGTCAACCGATTTTGATTTTTTTTTTCTTTTTTTTTGTATACAGCGTGTTCGTTTTTCAAGCTTCACCATAAGAATCTCAGTTGTTATAAGAGATACGAGATCGGTTAAATTAGGGCAAAGTTGCGCATTTTTATGCTGAATAATAATCTGAAAAAAAATTTAACGTGTCATTTTTAGTTTTTGAATTATTGGAAAAAAAACGAAAATTTGTAATTTTTGTTTTTATTTTTACAAGCAAAAACTAAAAGACCTAGACGTTTTTAACTAAGACGTTCTTAAGACACTTTTTTACAAGAAATCTAAATCTGTCATCGTATTTTTTAAGGCGCTCTTGATATGGACGCCATATTTGATTTGTATTTTTGAAAAGTCTTTTTGTTACAACGATGTATCACACGAATGATCAAATTTTACATGCTGTTCAAAATTAGGAAAGAGTGCTTTGGAAAACACGCTACCAATTTTAATTAGTAATAATATTAATTAATAAAAAAAATTTTTATTTTAAAAAAAACTTACCTTTACTTTATATTTCTTTTAACTTACCTTTTGTTTACTTATACACTATTCGCTTATTACACTATTTTTACACTTTCGCGCTCTTGTACGCCCGCCATCTCTTAGTGCTTATTTAAGTTGTGTTCTTATTTGTTCTTATGCTCTCTCTCTTTCTTATTATACATATTAGAATATGTGCACATGTTTTTAAAGATCGCGCTCTTATGCGCCCGCCCTCTTTTGACATTTATTTGAATTATATTTGAATTTGAATTTGTGAAAAATTGCCGACTTGACCGAGGCTCGAACTCGGGACCTACCTGCTGGAAAGCGGGACCTTATGCCGCTGAGCCACCACCGCCGCCGACAACTTTAATGTTTTCATTCAATATATTCAACACTTACACAAGATTTTTCAAAAAAATATTTTTCGCATTTTTACAACGTTTTTGTACTTTTCTAAGTTTGTTAAACCGCCAAGAGTGCAAATAGTTAAATTTTTTTTGAAAAAATTTTTGTCGAAATTTTGGGCGATTTGCGGTAGCAGGAGCGGTTTATTGCTAATTAGGAATTAACAAACTAAATTTTGACAGTTCAATTGAATTTGGATCTGGAAGTCACATTTCCGTCAAACTTAGCTACTTAAAAAGAAAGGTTTTGAAATAGGGACAACGTGATAAAGTTAAATTCTAGAAAGAATAAATTCTTTTTCTTAAGTTTGATGAACATGTAAAATTTGATCACGTCGTGTGATACACTGTTGTAATCATGAACAAAAAAACTTTTCAAAAAACAGAAATCGAATATGGCGTCCATAAGAAAATCCAAACTTGAGTGATGTAACTCTGACATCAAGAACGCTTTGTAAAATACGATGACAGATTTAAATTTCTTGTAAGAAAGTGCCTTAAGAACGTCCTAATTAAAAACATGTAGGTCTTTTAGTTTTCGCTTAAAAAAATAAAAACGAAAATTACAAATTTTCGTTTTTTTTCCAATATTTCAAAAACTAAAAATGACACATTGATTTTCTTTCAGATAATTGTTCAGCATAAAAATGCGCAACTTTGCCCTAATTTAACCGATCTCGAAGAACGAACACCGTGTATATAATTCGCAACTTTTCCGCGCTATTACAACTTCGAAATAATTTTTGATCCACCCTTTTATACAAGTGAACAAAAGTTGTACCTTATCTGTGAATAATCTGTGTGATCAGGAACCATAAATGTTTTTAACAAATTGCGTGTGAAACAGATAGATGAGTGATAAAAAATTTAGATTAATAGATTTTTGACGGATAATAAATATTAGAAAAGTTTTTTAACCTAGAGATCAAACATTAGCAAATTTCGTGGTTAAAAAAAACTCATTACGCCGAAACATAAAAAATATGTGTAAAAAAGCTAAGTACCTACACTCATAAAGCAACTAAGTTGTAATAATGTAAAATTACATTTGAAAAACTCTATAAAAAAATTAGTACTCTAAATTTTTTATTTACCATTATTTTATAAGTAAGCATTTTTCACATTGGTGAACAAGCCAGAAATGTGTTTCTCGGTAAGATATCCATAACGACACCGGAATTAAATAAAAATTTAAACGTTGACTTACCTTTAAATTAATGTAAATCAAATACCTGATTAAAAAATTATTACAGGGTATTAAATAATTAAAAAAAAATATTCTTCAATACTTTTATTCTATTATTGATCAACTTTTATTGGTTTGACCATCATTCTGGCTATTTTGAGACTATACCGCGTCCCACGAAAACTTTCCCAATACATTATTTTATGTTCTTGATCCGGTGGCACTGATTCCTTCATATAATTTCCAGTGAGAAGGGCGTGCATGCAATTTCTATACCACCATGCACCTCCTAGAATTGTTCAAACTTTTGATTTGTTTCATCAAATTTTTTACCACCTACCGTGTATATCAGCACAGTTATTAGGAGAATGATCCTGATCTTTGTCTTTTGTTGAAAATTTAGTACCTGCACTGTAACTGAGAGAATCACCAGCGTCACCACTATACCCTCCCAAAACTTTCAAAGAATATCCTTCGAGTTCACTACCTATCGCAAATAAACTGTAACGGGCATAAACTTTTACTTTAACCCAATCTTCTAATTCTATAAGTAATTCGTATCCACCATCTCCTGTGAGTTTATAAATTCAAGATTTAGTTTCATTTTTTAGGTATTGATTACCTGTTAACTCATGTAAATGTTCTAAGCCTAACCAAAACTCTCCGTTTAAATTACCAAAACCCCATTTATAGTCCTCCCAGGCTAAATTAAAATTCTCAGTCCCATCAAGCCTGTTAAGTAAGTAGGTCCAACCTCCATCTTTAGTCTTCAGATCACAGTAAACCAAAAAGACTTTGGAACTAGTCTTTGGCTTAATCTTATAGATACCAGAAGAAGTTTGACCACTATTTTGCACTTCTAGGCAGTTTTTGGGAACCTCGTTTGGAGATATATTTACGGGTTTTGGAGATATATTTAGGGGTTGTGGAGATAATAATAAAGGTAGTTGTCTTTCAGTCGAAGTTGTTGAAAGCTAAACACCCAAGACAAATATTTCAAAAACATACTACTTAAGAATATACCTTAATGGAAAACACGTTTTGAGCCAAAACAAATATCAGAAACAACCATGTCTTTAAGACCATGGTTTTAACAATAAAAAAACTAGCAAGAGAACAACGTAAATTCTCCGGATTTGACATAATTCACAATTTATATATGAATTTGTAATAAACTTGTGCTTTTATTACCCTCTTATGTTGTAATATTAAATTTTATTTTGACCAAGGTTTTAATGGGTTACACAACATTAAATTTTTATTACTTACGCCATTGTTTATTCTGGAATCTAGAATTGTTTATTCTTCTTTTTTACAAAAAAAATTATATAACTTTTTAATTTTTTTACACTAATTAGTGATTAGTTATATTAAAACTTTTTACAAATAAAAAACGACTAAAAACTGTGTCAAACTATAACAAACTTTTTGTTTCAAAAAGCTTTTAGGCGTAATAGTTAATTGTTTTACATGGAAAGAAAGTGTATTTTTTCCTCCCGTAAGTGGAAGTTATTGCACGAGATTTGTAAGGTAATAACCACCTAGAGAGGAAAAGACTCTTTCTTCCAGTATTATACATATTATTTTTTCTACGATCCAGTTTCTAAAATTCAGCAGCATGTTCTCCCGTTTCTGGAAAAAAAAATTACCTCCCTGAGAGGTTACATTAATTTTTTTGCACGACAAGAAGTATAAATCAACTTTTCTTATGTCAAAATTAAAGACTTACAGCCAATTTCTTGGATTTTTTAACTCAAGTCGTGCGAAAGATAATGGAGGGCATATTATTTCTTTGGTGCCTAAATGACACCTCAGAAATGAAGGTACATTTCTCTTCCTTTATGTATAATATACTATTAGTGTAATTTTGATAGAGGAGGGAGTTAAAATTTTTACCTCCGTGGGAGGTGAAATTAGAGTAGAAAAACTTACTTTCTGTTAGGGTGTAGGAAAAATAAATTGCAACGTAAACTTCTCAACAGTAATACAAATACTAAAATAAATTGAATTTTAAGTTAAAAATTCTCTGTTCAATTCATAGGCTGCCAGTGTCGCCTATAAATAATTAACAAAAATTATATCTTTTTAACTAATAGGTTATTTTTTCTTGTAAAAAATTTCAACGTGTTTAAAATCTCAATATTGTGAACACTGCAAAAATTTATTAAAAATTCTCTCTGGAAAGAAAAACATTTAAAGATTTCGAGTACATAATTCCATATTTGTCAAAATATTAACTTCCTACGAACATAGAATAAACAAATAAATTCTAAAGAGAGCATTTAAACGTTGTCTTAATTTTAAAACAATAACAAAATAAATCAAACCCATAATCATAATATTACAGAATAATAAACAATAAATGAACAAAAAACCATTCTTCATAGTTATTTTGTTATTTATTATACAAGACGATAAAGAAATTGTTTATCTACGAGTGAAAAGGTTAAGTTTACGAGTGACGAAGTCACGAGTAGACTTTTTTGACGAGTATATTTGCGCGTATATTTCGTTTTATTTTGTACTCCCTACCAGAATTTTTTGTACAAAATAAAGGTTATAAACAGTAGATAAAAATTACTTTATTCTTCGACACTGTCAAAATTTACGGTTTTTGTCCCGTGTAAGGAAGTTTTGACAGCTGTTTGGCATTTCTCAATACAAAACGCCAAATTATTTTTAACAGATTTAAAGAAAGTTTAATCCTTGTTGACTCTAATTCGAAGAATAAAATGTTGTATTCCACTCGTTTGAGTGTAAATCGGACGCTTTATTCCACCTCGTGGATGGTAAACCACTCGTTACACTCGTGGTTTAAAAATCCACTCGGTCAAATAAAGAGTCCGATTTACACTCAAACTCGTCGAATAAATAACTATTATTGCACCAGGCGATAATAAACTACTTTATCTACTGAAATTAGTTGATAAAAGCACTCTTTAACATTAAGTACAAAATAAACAATCTTTATTCGTTTTATTTTGTACTCACATTTCTTGTGTCTGGCTGATGAATACACTGGTCAAAGTGAAGCAGATAAAAATTACTTTATTTCACTAGACGATAAGAAACTGCTTTATCTACTGAAATTGATAATAGCACTCTTTAACATTAAGTACAAAAATAGTTACAAGACGATAAAATTAAATTTTATCGTTGAGAGCAATTTAGCGTCGATGCTTCAGCATCGGAGAGGTACATTGTAGATCATCAGCATTCGACATTTTGCACTACTAACTGCACTAGTTAAATGAATAAACACTTTCGAAAACTTCAACACTTTCTGATCGTTTTGTTCATTTACTTGTCAATTATAGTGTTGCTTTTTACTTTCGAACAGAATACGTTTGCGGACAAATAGTTATTTATTATACAAGACGATAAAACTGAATTTTATCTTTGAGAGCAATTTAATATGCTTGAAAAGGTAATGAAAATTTTATCGTCGTGTACAATATAAAATTTTATTCAATCCTCACTAATTTTGTAGTCAATTTGGTCGACATTTATAATATTTATAATCAAAGATCGTTAGCAACCGCAGATATACAACAATGGATGTATTTTTTATCATCTAGACGATAAAATTTCATTTTAACATGAAGAAAAGAGTAGATAAAATTCAATTTTAACATAGAGGATTGAATAAAAAAAAATTCTATTTCAAAGTTTTTTATTTAATATTTTTAGTTTGAAAACTGTCTTTAGTATACATTATTAAATGTAATTTTCTGTAGTTGTTTTGCTCGATATGTTTGGGGTTTTATGCGTTGTAATTAAATTTGCAGGACGTGCAAGAGCCGTCAGTGTCGGCATTAGCCCTTGAATGCACAATAAAGTGCAGCAAAAAGTAGAAATCCTCGTGATCCGTCAAAGACAGCGTAAATCCCCGGAGACAATTCCGGCGATGCCTGCTGTCCCAAAATCCTCCGGAATTCCGGCTAGAGAGCATTGTTACTCATGCACATAAATTGTTACAAATAAATAGCAAAGAGGTGCAAGTTTCTTGCAAGGATCAGACATAAAACATACATCAGAATACATTATGCAAATGGGGGAATGCGCGTCGAGGCAACCGTACCTCTCGCACGCCTATTTTTAAACAAAACTTGCATAATTTACGACCGAATTTAGATTACACGTGAAATATGAATAAACGCGCTTTATTCCGTCCGGAAATCATAATTTAAAAATGATATCTGTCCCGCGTATTTCACCCGAATATTGTTCTTATATCTTGGAAAAGTTGGGCTTATCGTTGATTTAGTGCGGCGAACGGCGAAAAAGCTCGCTTCCAGGTGGAACGTCTCGCTAATTAACCGGCGAAAGCTCGCAAACATCAGCTGTTCGCTCTCACAACAACTAGACTTAAGGGATTGTCTGTGATGCCCCGGACTGCATGTCTAATTCCAGACCCTGTCTAGGACTGATTCAAGCCGTCCCTTCAACCGGAACACACCGGAGCAGGATCAAACAAGACGGTTACTTGTTTCAGACCGTTACTTGAGCTTTGCAGATAACCACCGATACGTGCTTGCGCCCGGAACCCATCGACCGGAACACAGATCTTGTTTCCGGACATTTTTTTATTCTCCATTCCTCGAAATATCCAAAAATTTGCAGAAAAATTATAAATTTGTGCATTTATCCGGATATACGATGTATACAAAATCACGGTATGGTGTAGGAAATCTTCCACGAAACCTCTATTAAGAAATCCATTGTTATGTTCAACAAATTTTATGGTTAAATTGGCAAAATCGCCAATACTTACGACTATTCAATTCACCTTTCTTTGTGCTGCGCACCCATGGTGTTCAAAAAACAAATGCATTTATAAAAATAATTCGACAATTTAAAAGCGAGTAAATAAAAAAACATGTTTACAACAAATATTAATCAATTAATAGTTATTTATTATACAAGTCGATAAAATTGAATTTTATCTTTGAGAGCAATTTAAATGCTCGAAATGGTAATAAAAATTTATCGTCGTGTACAATAGAAAATTTTATTCAATCCTCACTAATTTTGTAGACAATTTAGTCGATATTTATAAATGTCAAAGTAAAATTCAACACTGAAATCTAATGTCAAAGATCGTTAGCAACTAACAACCGCAGATATACAACAATGAATGTATTTTTTATCATCTAGACAATAAATTTTCATTTTAACACGAAGAAAAGAGTAGATAAAATTCAATTTTAACATAGAAGATTGAATAAAAAAAAATATTCCATTTCAAAGTTTTTTTATTTAATATTTTTAGTTTGAAAACTGTCTTTAGTGTACATTTTTAAATGTAATTTTCTGTAGTTGTTTTCCATCGACCGGAACACACAAAATTTTCGGTTTCCGGACATTTTTTTATTCTACATTCCTCAAAATATCCAAAAATTTGAAGAAATATTACACAAAATATAAATTTGTTTATTTCTCCGGATATACAGGATGTATACAAAATCACGCATTAGCTCTCTTGTAGGAAATCTTCCAAAAAACCTCTATTAAAAAAAACCTTGTTATAGTCAATAAATTGTATGGTCAAATTGGTAAAATCACAATACTTACGAATATTCAATTCACCTCTCGTTTTTCAAATATTGACGAATAAAATAGCAGATTCGTGCTGCGCACTCATGGTGTTCATAATGCGAAAGACCATTCATAAAAATATTCCACAATTTTTGACTACTCGTATTATAATCGAATATTCATTCACCCTACTTTTATTTACAATTATTGTGAAATAAGCAATTGTGTACTCGTATGATTACTTTTATTGATTATTTGGTGGCACTAAAGGAGCCTTGAGAGAACAATTTTATTTCCAAAACATTGCTTATTGAAATTTTTTAAATTGCACGAATAATGTTGTTTTAATACAACAACAAAAAACACAAAACAGTAAAAACTGTAATAAATAAAAAAAAAACATTTTTTATAGCAATGCTCGAAAATTTTCAATTTAGTGAGCAGAATTTTGGGAGCTCGGTACACAATTTTTGGAAAAAAAGAGTTCAAAAATTGTTGACGATGACGGCAATGATGATATAAGTAATATAACTTTAAAATTGTGCCTGAAAAGGGGTGTAATTGTTCTTGGAAAAAAGCTTTAATCACGCAATTCAGCATTTAAAATTAAAAAGGTCAGATATCTCCATATATCTCCGGCTATTTTAAAAAATGCTAGAGATTTAAAGAAATAAACCGAAGTGACAAGTTCAAAAATGAACAAAATAACCAAGACGTTTTGCAAGTAATTGAAATCATAACGCTTATAAGCAAACATTACGTGTAGTATCGAAATTTGTGATGAGATTTTAATGACTAGTGCAGTTAGTAGTGCAAAATGTCGAATATAAAGCAAAAAAGACAAGAAAGAAACAACATTAGTAAATGCCAATAATATCATATCATGATAAAAGTAAAAACGCTTAAGCGCAAAAGTAAAATTTTTACGCTATAGCTGAACGTCACATTTGTGAGACTGCGAATAAAAATATTTTGTTCCGGGATTTATTACAAAGTTTTGTAGCAAACTGCAGAGCCTATGATTTAATTATTTTCTGAATTCTTCTATGGATTTATAATTTCAATGGCGTAAGAAATAAAAATTTAATAATAATAATTAATAAACCCCGAAATAATAAATAATGTAATAAATAAAAAAACATTTTTTATAGCAAATGCTCAAAAATTTTCAATTTAGTGATTTCGAGCACTCATGCAAAAAATTTACGAAATACGAATTTTGTAAAGTCGTTACACAGGAAAAAAGAACCCAAAAATTGTTGACGATGACAGCAATGGTAATATATCTTTAAAATTGTCCTTGAAAAGCGGCATAAATGTGCTTGAAAAATCACGTAATTCAGGATTTAAAATTAAAAAAGTCAGATAGTAACTCCGGCTATTTTTAAAAAACGCTAGATATTTAACTTACCAGAAATGTCAAGTTCAAGAATAAACAAAATAACCAGGACGTTTTGCAAGTAATAAAATCATAACAAGACTTATAAACAAGTATTACGTCAGTATCAGAATTTGTGTTAAGATTTTAATGACTAGTGCAGTTAGTAGTGCAAAATGTCAAATGCAAAGCAAAAAAGACAAAAAAGAAACATTAGTAAATGCCAATAATGTGATAATAAAAGTAAAAACGCTTAAGCGCAAAAGTAGAATTTTTATGCTGTGACGTTTGCAAATACAGATTTTTTAAGAAATGTTCTTTTCCGAAATTTTTGCTTCTATAGCTTTATAATTTCGATGGCGTAAGAGATAAAAATTTAATAGTATATAACCCATTAAAAATCTTTGACAAGTAACTCTATTGGTCAAGATAATATTTGAAATAAGTGGATAATAAAAGCACAAGTTTATTACAGAGTCATATAAATTGCAAAACTTTAATACGGAGAATTTACGTTATTCTCTTGCTAGTTTCTTATTGTTAAACCATGTTCTTAAATGTATGGTTGTTTTTGATTTTAGTTTTGGCTCAAAACGAGTCTTCGAAGGTAAATTTTTGAATAATTTTTGAAACAGGTTTCCTAAAGGTGTTTAGGTTTCATCACCTTCGATTAAAAAAAAATCTACTAGTTCACACTCAGCAAAAAAACCTTCACAACGCGTCCCCAAAAATTGTGAAGAAGTGCAAAACAGTGGTCACAACACTTCTGGAATCTATAAGATTCAGCCAAAAAGTAGTCCCAAACCCTTTGAGGCTTTCTGTGATATGAAGAATAGAGATGGGGGTTGGACGTATTTTTTTAACAGGTTTGATGGGTCTGTGAGTTTTGATAGGGGTTGGAAAGACTACAAAAAAGGGTTTGGTAATTTAAGTGGAGAATTTTGGTTGGGCTTAACACACTTACATGAGCTAACAGGTAAATCACAACATGAAATACAAAACTTGAATTTGAAGTAAGAAATTAACAGCAGATGGTAAATACCAGCTACTGGTAGAGTTAGAAGATTGGGACAAAGTAAAAGCTTATGCTCATTATAATGAATTTGCAATAGGTAGTGAAAAAGAAGGATTTTCATTGAAAGTTTTGAAACATCACAGTGGCGACGTTGAGGATTCTCTCATGCACAGTGTAGGTGCTAAGTTTAGTACAAAAGACAAATCTCATGATGAAGGAACTCGTATTAACTGTGTTGAACGTTACCGTAGGTTTTGCAAAAAACGATATAAAAATGAAATAAATTTGACAACTTTTCAGGTAGTGCGTGGTGGTTTAAAAAATGTATGTTGGCTCTACTCACAGGCAAATATATGAAGGGAAAGGTGACGTTTCATGAAATGATTAAACCTATGTATTGGGGTTCTTTTCATGGGAACGAATATAGCCTCAAAAAAGCCAAAATGATGGTGAAACCAATAAGCAAATCTTACTTACAATTTATACAAACAAGTGACGCCCTTAAAAAACACGCTTATTTTTTAGCATCAAAACACTAAACCAAAAAAAAATTAAAATCAAGTATAAAACCAAAAATAACAACAAACAATTTTTTCTAGTTCTATATCTGGTGAAAACTAAATGTACCTCCCTACATTATGATATAATATTTTAAACTCTTTTCTTTCTGTTGTATTTTAATTTTATTTTCACCGTATAATAAAGACATTTAACAATGTAAAGGGTGACTCAGGAATGCGTGCAAGCTCCATAACTTTTTCTATCCAACAAAGACTATCCACATTGACGCATGTTCTAAAAATATTTCTATTTATATACAGGTGTCCCAAAATAAGATACACAATTAAGTTCAGTTTTTTTTAATAAAATCCTCAATTTTTGTTACATTTCTGGATTTGCCACTAAATTGTCGATATAACGCACTCGAGATTTTTTAGACTAATATGCAATAGTTTATCCACAGAAAAATTCATAACTTCAGAACCATTCAAGATAACTTTTTTCGAGTCGATTCCTTAAAGAAAAATTCCCTAGAGAAAAATTTTAAGTAAAATAAAATACCAGAAATATAAAAAAAATCTTTAAAATAATTTGACATTTATGTTTTGACATTTGACTTTCTTTATGTGTATTTAATGATACTTATGATCTTGAATATGTTTTTTTTCTAATTATTTATTTGGTAAAGGTACAAAAATTTTGCCAATAAAAGCACAAATAACATTAAACAGAATTATAATTTAGGATACAGCTTCCTTGTTTCCTCTTCTAATAGCCTGGAGCAAAAAAACTTGAAAAATTATTTTTCCATTAGAAATAAATAGAGTCAAAGTGCCAAATTTAAACTCTCATAGAATTTTTTAACGTTTTTTCCATGTTCCTGGTACCTATCCAGGGCCGTACCCAACGAGAGGATTAGGGGGTTCAACCCCTCGAAATGCTGAGCACTTTGTTATTACAGTGTTATAAGTGTTAAAAAATTATTTAATTTTTTTGTTATTTTAGTGAGTTAACTTTTAATTTTTGTGAATTAATTTTTCATGTGTTAATTATACAAAGTGTTCCATTTTTATTGTTAAGTACAAATTTAAATAGATGATAGAAGCAATTTTAAGGAAATTAGGGGGTTCAAACCCCCCCCCCTCGAAATGCTAAGCAGTTGATTTAATTTTTTTGTTATTTTAGTGAGTTAATTTTTAATATTTGTGAATTAATTTTTCATGTGTTAATTATACAGAGTGTTCCATTTTTTTTTCAATTTTAAGACAAAAAATATGTTTCCAAAAATACTATGAAAAGCACCCCCTAAAAAGGGTGCGTTTTTTAAAGGATTTTTCCAAGTATTTCAGAATAGATAAAATTATAAAATTTGGTACAGCTGATAACGTTTATATGTAGACCTAAACAAATACCAAATGGCAAAATTTTTAATCAGGAACGTCCTAAACAGTAAAACAAATTTAATTTTTAATTTTTATGCTGTTTATAATCTAGAACACAAATTTTTAAACCGATTTTACTGAAAATCGGTAAATTGTATCAGAAAAACACAAAAACCTTTTTTTTATGAAAAACTATGAAATTTAGAATTTTATTGCTGAAAGTGACAAAAAACCATAGGCAAATTTCAACATTTTATCTTTGTACTCGTTTAGGTGTATAAAGATTATCATTTGTACCAAATTTTCATTTTTTCTCTAAAATGACGCAAAGATGCACCTCTTGTGTAGCATTTTTCGATATATGTTCATAAAAAACTTTTGTCTTAAAATTGAATATTCTATTTCCTGTTTAAATTTATAACATTAAAAACGAAACATCCTGTATACTTTTATAAGTATTAAAAATTTATTTTATTTTTTGTTACTTTGTGAGTTTATTTGTATTCTTTTATGTTTAATTCGGACTTCTTATTTCAATTTAAAATAAAAACGTGTGCTTAAAGATGAGCAATGCTTTTTCTAATTTTCAATCCGCCTTCTTTCATTCTCTTTTCATGGACCAACAAGAAATATGTTTTATCTTATTTTGATTTTTAATATTTTTGCAATGTGCCTCATTGTCGGACTTTGAAAAAAGCAAATCGTTAGCTTGGATAGAAAAAACTTATGGAGATTCCACGCACCTTTGGATCACCCTGTATATATCCATTAGTTGTGCAAGAAATAGAAACGGCATTAAAATGAGCACGAATCGAGACGGTTTAAAAAATATATCACCACAATTGTTTCATGCGTCGAGTTTTTACCCTCCTTTGCAAAAAACATTTACATGAAACGAGACGATAATTTAATAAATTGTAACAAGCGTAAAAAATTTTATTTGAACTAAACTCGACGGCTACAAATGAAGTTTTTTGCAACTCTTTTCAAATATATCCGTCTCCCACGCTCATGAAGTGACACTTTGAGACTGGGGTGACAATTTAATTTAATTTTATGACCGTCTAAACACGAAATAAAGTTTTTCCTTCGGCCAAATTAATTTATGTTTTCGTGGCGCTTGGGAAACTTTATAGTGCAGTAATGAATACTTTTCTGATCAGATTCTATCTCGTTAGTTTGATCGAGAGCGCGGCGGTATCACGTGTCATAAATGTCCGAAAGTTTAATTACTTTTATCAGAGGCGTCCCAGATAACGGCGTTCGGCCATCCAACTCTTCATTGAGGAATTTACAGTGACGTTAACAGCTCGCAATGCTCCCAAACTGTGATTATTTTCACTTTACAGCCCAATAAAACGCGATTTATGAATCGCAAACTTTTCTAATTATTATAATTATTCTTCCGCCTCTCGATTTTTCTGCAATTACACAAGGCGACAAAAAAAAGTTATGTCGTGACAACTTGACAAATTATATATCATTTTGTTCGTCTCAGTGAGACAAATCAAATGCACTAAAAAAAAATTTAAGTCCACACACTTTGAACAAAATATTTTTTTCTAATTTAAATGAATTTAAAATACTTTAAAAAATCATTACTCAATAACTATTAGGCCGATTTCCTTCAAATAAAGACCATTCTAAAGGGATGGCCTTGCCCTTTAGAATGATATAAAATTTGAAATTGAATATTGGCAAACTACTCTTCGATCAGTGTTCGAAGACGTTCGAAGTAAATCGAAATAATCTAAGAAAAACCCTACGAGTAATTTTTTTTTTGTTATCATTACCATCGTGTAGAGCATCTCTTTATTAGTTGTAATCCAAATTTTCAAAAAAATATGCCGAGTAGTTTTCAAGATATTTTTTTTTGAAGTTAAGGTTTGCTATTCAGATACTGCGCCATATAGGAGAAATGCATGTTAATCTTACTTAAAATTGCATTTTTATAAAAGTATTTGTTTTAAGACTCTTCTTTTGCATAAAAATGATCAAATGCATCTTCTTTGTTCTAATTACAATAAACAAAAACTGTTTGTTTACTTAAAACAAATAACGAGTATCTGCGTACTAATTAAATCAAATAAAGAGTTTTTTTGTTGTAAATATGACCACTGATCATTGAGCAAAGAGGATCTAGAAGTTTAAGGCACGAGTCTTAAATATAAGGGCAAATCTTTTTCAAATCAAATCTCTTTCCATTCAGATTTCGATTTGTTTACTTTGTTCTAGCTTTCTGAACTTTTTTTGAAAATGTTCTGAGCAAATGCTTTCTCAACACTTTCGAGTGATGTTAAATGCAATAAGTCACCTGATTTATTTTGTTGGTAAATTCTAGATTAGCTTCAGTTAGCTTGTACTTCAGTAGAAGTTGTGATAACAGTTGCACACGAAGCAACTGACTTATTGCATTCAACATCATGAGAAAGCATTTGCTGAAAACATTTTCAAAAAAAAGTTCAGAAAGCTAGAACAAAGTGAACAAGTTGGAATCTGAATTGAAAGTGATTTAATTTGAAAAAGATTTGTTCTTATATTTAAAGCTACTGCTTTAAACTTCTAGATAGTTTTTGCTTAATGATTATAGTGGTCATTTTTAGAACAAAAAACTCTTTATTTGCTTTAATTACTACGCAGATACTCTTTGTTTGTTTTAAATAAAGAAACAGTTTTTGTTTATTGTAATTAGAACAAAGAAGGTGCATTTGACCATTTTCAAGCAAAAGAAGAGTTTTAAAACAAATACTTTTATAAAAATGCAATTTTAAGTAAGATTAACATGCATTTCTCCTATATGGCGCAATACCTGTCCAGCAAATCTTAACTTCAAAAAATCATATCTTAAAAACTACTCGGTATATTATGTTAAAAATTTGGATTCTTACTAATAAAAAGATGCTCTACACGATGGTGACAAAGAAAAAAAAATTACTCGTAGGGTTTTTCTTAGATTACTTCGAACTATTTCGAACACTGTTCGAAGAAAAGTTTGCCAATATTCAATTTCAAATTTCATATCATTCTATCTGAAGGAAATCGGCCTAATAGTTATTGAGTAATGATTTTTTAAAGTTAAAGTATTTTAAATTCATTTAAATTAGAAAAAAAAAATTAGTTCAAAGTGTGTGGACTTTTTGAAATTTTTTTAGTGCATTTGATTTGTCTCACTGAGACGAACAAAATGATATAAAATTTGTCAAGTTGTCGGCCTGTGTTATCCCCTCGAACGTCCGATAACCCAAGTTCGTATTCAAGTTACAACGTTTCTATTCTTGTTTTATCCCGGGGAGATTATTTATTTCAACAAATTTGTATAGTCTCTTAACTTTTGCACTTGGAAGTGGATTTCTTGCCTGGGGATAGCCAACGCGCCGAGATTTACTTCTGAACTACGAGTCTCGCTTCCAGTCGTCTTTTTCTCCTCTTCGTCTCGCTGTTATTTATTTGAAGTTTTAATGTTGTGTTAGAGCTTCAAATCTGATTTTCTCCCAGAAACATTAACTTTTCTAAAAGCGACAAAGTTTCGACGCCGAGACAAAACAAACAGTTCGAAATTTTACGCATTTGCATTTGGACGGGATTCCGGAATGATTATTTATGGAGGGAATTCGGAATAAAAACACAGTTTATTTATTAAAACACAATTTATTTCCGACCGAAAGTACTTTGGACCAGGCACGGGGGTAGTTGTTCGATGAGACTCAAAGGATTGACCTCCACTGCCACCATTTCATCCTCGGAAATCCAGCTCAGGTGCACCAGGTGCTGCAAAGGTTAAAAAAGCAGGGTGCCAAAGGAGTTTTGCAGGACTAAAATTATTAAATGTCCTTACTTTGTATTTTTTGATACAACGAACGACGATCTGGTCGCTGCTTTCGCCGTGGGTTTTTCGTTTCTTGGATTCGTTGTTGGTCACAGTCTGAAAAACGCAACAGCTGGAATAAGCCAAAGATTTTGGTTAAATTGTACAAACACCGAGCGCAAAATCCGGTAATACCGTGATTGATCACGACTGTCATTATACGCTTATAAGACAAATAGTCTTATATCCGATTTGGATGGGAAAGCGTTACCGCACATTCCGTCTTATTTGTTTAAAAAAATCGTTTTAATTTTGGCTTGAAAATAAATGAATCTTGAAATTTATCTTAGAAACAACAAGACAAAGTCATGTTTGTTGTCTTCACATTATATTAAAGCTTTAGAAAAAATCGCTACGTGTTATTATCAAGCAAATAATCTAATACTATATTATAACACAAGGCACACTTGGCGTGCAAATTAAAAAAAAAATTTTTTTCTGAAAGTGAAGTGCCTTTTATGTTGCAAAAAAGACAAGATATTATTGGAAAAAGTTGTTTACAATCAACATTTAGATCCTTATATCAAATTTCAAATTCATCGGCCAACTATGATTTTTAATTTTTTTATGTTTATTTGACAAATCAAAGAATTTTATTTTTAAGAGTTCTTTTATTAGGAATAAAAAATGTCATACTTAAATTACTAAATAACAGAAAAAAAAATGGAAAATCAGAAAATCATAATTGACCGATGATTTTGGAGGGGAAATTTTATTGCTTTGTTAGCTTTTGCGCCGAAGACTGAGTTACACCAAACAAACTTATTTTTTTCAATTAAAACAAAATCAAAACAAAATGAGAAGGAAACTATAAACAAATTTCCAACTTAATAGAAATAGAATAAAATAGAAATAGAATACGAGTAAAAAATGTGTACAAATGTCTAAATAACTAAAAGATTTTGAGGGGTTATTTCTTAAGAAGAGAAATATGTTCAGAACTGCTTTCTAAGGTCCTAAAGGACTTTTTTTTCAATTATTTCAATAATCGGCTGAGATAAATTTACAAAAATTTGCACCCGGAGTATTTTTTAGCAATTTTTTAGGTGGTGGAGGGTCAACTTATTTAAGGCGTATAATTTTGTTTTGAATTTTTTCCTACACATTCGAATACGATTTTACTTTATTTCGAAAAGCAACTCTTGCAGTAAGTTTTCTCATACCAGGTGAATAGAAAGTATGGAACCAAACATTTTTTGCTTAAACTAAAAACATATTTTTATAACACTTCAATTTTTATTAATTATTACACCGGGTGGGGCATCTGTTACGCGCAGAACAAAAATCCTCACTTCTAGTTAAATAAAATTGTTGGTATTTTTCACATTTACCTATGCATTATTAAAGTACATTTCATAATTTTTTGGTAATTTTTCATTTACAAACAAAGCCAAAAATAAATAAAGTGATTTTCTCCTAAAATGTTGAATTTTAATTTTTATTCTGACTTACGCAGATTCCTGTAATTGTTTACGAAATCAGAAAAAAATACCAATTAGATTTTAAATTAGGTAAACGCAATTTTCAATTTTAACTTTGAAAATCATTTTTATGACCTGCTTCTTGTACCATCGTAAATTTAGGTGACAATGGAGAACTGTAATTAGGGTAAGATTCCAAGATTTACAAGAATAAGAGATTTCAAAGTGGTCGGCTACCAATAAATGATTCTTTCGTTGGAAAATTATACCATTTTGTCATAAATCACGCGTCTGGTTTGTGTTTAAATAAAAAAGCGATTATTTAATTAACCAAGTCAAAATTTGTAATTGTGATATCAAAGTTTGATGCGCTAGCAGGTAGATTTATTTAATGTAAAAACTTGATAGGTAAATTAACAGAAAGTATTCATAAATCACGCAAAACTGTTACGGCCTCATTCATTATCAAAAAAATTTAGAAAAATTCTCAAATATACCCTATCAATAATTAGTTAGGTATATGAAATATCGCCAGTTTTAATTAATTAGAAGTCGCAATTTATATCAAGTGCGCGTAATCGATGCCCCACCCGGTATTCTGAAGGCTAATGATTTTAAAAAATCACTTGGTTCCATTCTTTTTCGACGAAAAACCGAACTTTTTTCGTATATTGACTTAAAGAATCATTACCAAAATATTTTAATGTTTTTTCAGACATCCTGTATAAACCACACAAGAATAAAAGATATAAACTCGCTCGGCCTGTTTGTATGTCTCGTAAATGTGTTGCATTTCTTAAAAAATCAGTTATGAAATTGTGTGCAATTTGCTGGCGGATTTATGAGGGCTTGAATTGGTCTGAGCGGCTCTAGGAGCGCAATTTCGCTTTATAGATGTTGGATGATAAGCCTTGGTGTTTCGCGGCGCCATTTTTTGCCTCTCTGTTCATATATTTATGATTTTTTGTGTCCGAGTCAATATTGGCAAATCTGTTCGTGGACGTTTAAAAGTGTAGTTTTTATGAATTTTTTTCCCGCCCCCAGCGCTCATGTATTTTTCTCCTCGTCGCGTCTGCTAAAAAGCCAGACAAATAACAGACGTAAATATAATCTAAATTGCAAACAGACGAAAAGAATTCGCTAAAGTGCACTTAGTCAAAGTCATCATCCTGAAATAGTGACAGAGAAATATGCATCATGCAAATGTGCAATTTCCATTCGAGCCACTGCGGGATTACCTCCGATTCAAATTCATAATTCCACGGGGCTCAGGTATCAATCAAAATGATTGAGCTCGTTATGTCTAGCTCGAACAATAACGCAAAAATAAAAACGACGAGTGCATTATATCTCTCGACAAGTTTTCGCGCTACTTTTCTCGCTCTGCGATGCAATAGTGCGGAGACTGCGCCCCACAAACGCCGTCTTCTCGCCCAGGTTACACAACCGATTTTTTACACCAATAATTTGCAGCGAACGAAGATGGATGGTTATATTCAACAACGTACCTAGTCATAAATTATTCCGTTAAAAAGCCCCCAGAATATCAAACGACACACAATGATCGTTTGTCTACTCGACTCTCTTCGCACAAAAGAGACAAAAAATCCACTACGAGTGTCGGAATGATTTAGATTCTTAAGACTAAATGAGCAAAGTTCGCCGATTTGCAGAATCATTCCCCTTGTTCCGTTTGTACGGAAAATTTACTTTTTGTTACAGAATTTTACTCCTAGTGGTCAATAATCATTTTCATTATTGACTATTAATTAGCAAAACAATATTCTTTCTAAGATAGGAAATTCAAAGTGCCGAAATATAAAATTACTCCAAATGCATGCATAGTAGTCCAAAAGACCCAGATAGTGTTAAAACGTTGTAGATACGCAAAAAATTATTTTTTGAAGAATTTTGGACTGAAGCAGATAGACTGCCGGCGGCGTGGTGGCGTAGCGACATAAGATTTAGAGAATTTTGCGTCGATTGATAACACGTAGCATCATCAGTATTATTTATAAGGGCGTTGGAAAATTCACAACTGACATTGTGTCTAATCTAGAAATGAATTCTCAACATTTTTGATGTTCACCACCGAAAATTCGAGAAATTGGAAAGTTTATTGAAACCAATTTACTTCCAACGGCATTGTTACCAACATTCAAAACAAATGTTATACTAGGGTTTGAAAACACCCAATCAAGTTCGCTGATAGCCTTGTTAAAGACGCAAAATTGAGAAAAAAAAATCCACACCACTCTAAATAAGTTTTAAGAACATTAATTTATTAGTAGGTATGTACCTATTTACTGTAGTAATTAATAATACATAATTTACATTATTATTTAACATTAAAATTTACTTTCTGCACAATAAAAGAAGAGCAATTTTATGTTTTAATATTTAAGACTTCTTTATAAACCCTTTCTTCACACATTATATTCAGATTGTAGATTAACATTTGCAAAAAAAACGTTTAAAAATTTCTCAAATAGAAATGCTCAATTTAAAAAAATGTAAATTGAGTCTCTTGAAAATATCGTGTTACAAAAGTCAGTTGGAAAGACTAAGAAAATGTCAAGAAATACCGGCTTAAGAAATTTCTTAAAGAAATGCGTAAAACAAAAAAATGTCAATCGAGACTTGTTTAAAACATCGTGTTGCAAAAGACATTGGGGGAGACTATTAGAGCCTATCAGATTTTGTAAAAATTTACACACTATCACTGGATTGCAAATATTTTATTATAATTAATAAAAACTCACACTATCGGTTTTTGTCAAAATTTATATTTGTTTCATTATTTATATTTATTTAAATTTATTTCGCCCCTTTTTAAACCTATCTGATTACACAATTTTTCTGCTAATACACTAGAAATCTATATTTTTTGTTAGTTCAGTGGGTACATCTAGTTTTTGTTATGTCGATAGAAACAATAAATTAATGTCATAACCTCAAATTAAAATATTAAATTAAATTACACATTCCTTGGCCAAATTTCTTTTATATTGGCCTCTTATAGTCTTAATCAACACTTCACAAATCACTGCCTAACTATTTCAAGTCGACCATCAGTGTGCAAATTAACTGGGTTTACATCGTTTTTGGCGTACGTTTCATGCATTATTTTCGTCATATCACAATGTCAGAATAACCTTAATTTACACATTTCTTCGCCAAAATTCTTAATAAAATAAAGGGCTCTTGTGTGTTAAACAACACTTCACGACTTACCATCTAGCTTTTTATCTTTCGAGATGGTTTTTTATAAAGACGACAATATTTCGGTCGGCGGCACATTGTACCATCAAATCATACCAACCAAAACCAACCTTTGCACCAGTAACGTACACTTCGGTTTTTCTATCGTTTTCGTTTGATTTTCTTCAAGAGTGTGAGCCACATTGACGCGAAATATCAACAACTGTCAGAAGTGTCAGATTGAATGATTGAAATGCAACGCACTCTTGGTTCAGGTTTTTTTAAACGTTAAATTTTGGCACTTTTAGGCCTTTTTCAAACATGAAAGTCTCGCGTTCGATAGTTTCTTGATTAAATTTTCGTTTTCTATCTTTGCTTAGCCTCCGCATTTTGCCGTTTTTCACTTTTAGCATGTCCAAAAATTCAACAACAAAA